TTGCTATTGCTGGGTATATTACTGATGAGAAAATGCACATTGCTAGAGATTATCTGGAGAAAACCACTCGAGAAGCTTGTGGAATAAAGTCTGAACAGGTAGTTATCTTTTTTGTTCCTTCTCCTGCATAAAATGGGATATTGAAGGTCTTAACATAGTGTTATTACAAGCATAATGATGCCAATGTTTATTGCCTTTCATGCTGAAAATGTTGACTTAAAAACTCCCTTGCTTCAGGTGGAAGTGACTGATGCAGCACTTCTTTCCCTAATTGAAAATTACTGCCGAGAAGCTGGGGTCAGAAACCTTCAAAAGCACATAGAGAAAATTTACCGAAAGGTCTCTTTAATTTTATCTTTTTAGTAGTAAAACCTTACTCACTGAGACTATACGCTTTGCATGGTTGAAATGACGACTACCACTCATGATTTGTTTTGAATTTTTACTGAACGAGTTCATCACTAATCCTGAATTTGAATTTATACCAAATTCTTCAGTTATCTGTTACCAGAAATGTTCTGCTTGTGTGACAGATAGCATTACAACTTGTGAGGCAAGGAGAAACTATTGATGCTACCATTCGTAGTGCTCAGAGTATGGAACCAATGAAAGACAAAGTAGACTCCGATGAATTGGGGGTAGATACAGTTCAAAAGGAGAACTCTGAGTCGGTAGAGGGTAGTGATACTGAAAAAGTGGGTGAAACTTGTGATGAAGTTGACATGGTGCAAACAGGTCTATCATCTGAGCAATCACAAAGTCTTGAGGTAGTTTAACTCTGAAAGTGCAGTCAATTTGTTGCTTCTATAAAAAGTGGTATTTTGTTTGATTTATAAGAACTATGTGCATTCATTTTTGTCTTTTACCATTGTACAACCTTGTGGTTTGGTACAGAAGTTTTTTTACTGGTTGTGCACAAACTTTGTACTTTACTTTTTTTCCTTGGAAACCAGATAAATTTTGTTGTTGTTCAATATAGTCACAGATTGACTTTTCATACACACACAGATATAAGTGTATGTATGTACATATGTGCATACATATAAACACAAGCGCCCACACACAATGAGAAGGGATTAAGTTACTTTAAGAGAATTATTGATCATCCTCACCTTTTATTTTCTTTTATTCAATGATTGTAACACTTGACTTAATTTTAACCATTAGATTAACCCTATGTTTGTTGTAAGGAAAATGAAAGAAAGCGTGAGGAAAAAAAGAGAGATGAAATAAATTGCGAATTTTTTAAGGAGAAAATGACATGAAAATATAGGATAGTTGTCATTTAAAAAATAATAAATAAATTAGAATTAAATAATTGTACAATTAAAAAGTTACTAATGCATTTATTATGGAAATAGACGAGAGAGGTAATTTTGAGAATTATAAGTTTTCTATACACTTTCCACTATTTTCTCCTTGTATGTAAGAGGAAAATAAAGCATGTAAGACCCAATGGAAATTTAACATTTCATTGCTACCAAATAAGGGAAATGCTTTCTTTCTACTCATTTTCCAGCACCAGACACTTTTCATTCTACACTTTTCCTTCAAACGAACAGAATCTAAAAGAAAGTGAAGGAAGAAGATGAAGAGTGACTCTCTTAGAAGTTACTCTAGGAGTAACATGATAACTCTCTCTATTATGTATATATGGATCTCTAATTATTTTTATATATGTATATCTTAATTTTGCAGGTTGCAAAAGAAAGTGAGGAAGACAAGGAAATTGAAAAGGTATTGGTTGATCAATCAAATTTAACTGACTTTGTAGGCAAGCCAGTCTTCCATGCTGATCGCATCTATGATCAGACACCTATTGGTGTTGTGATGGGTCTTGCCTGGACTTCAATGGGGGGCTCTACACTGTATATAGAAACTACCTTTGTTGAGGAAGGGGAGGGAAAAGGAGCACTGCAACTCACTGGTCAATTGGGAGACGTGATGAAAGAAAGTGCTCAGATAGCTCATACAGTTGCCAGAGCAATACTACTGGAAAAAGAACCAGAAAATCGTTTCTTTGCAAATTCAAAACTACACCTCCATGTCCCTGTAGGGGCCACACCAAAGGACGGACCAAGTGCTGGTTGCACAATGACCACTTCACTGTTGTCCCTTGCCATGAAGAAGCCTGTGAAGAAGGATCTAGCAATGACCGGGGAAGTGACACTTACAGGGAAAATTCTTCCCATTGGCGGGGTATGTTGAGAAATACCTTCTATTACAATATTATTATTCATAACTTGTAGATGCAGAAACTTCTGGGAATCTTTAGATGCTATTGGTTTTCAAATTGTCATTTTTTATTTTGAAGGTTGTTATATTTATTTCAACAACTAAAGTAGTGTATCCTAGACGAGTTGCCCCTTGCTTTCAGTATCTATTCGCCTACTAAATTACATTAAGCTCAAAAAAAGAGTCCTCTAGTAATGGTTGCCCAGCCAATAGATTATTCATCAGTAGATACCCCCTCAATGTTTTCTGCTGTGAATTCTTTTCTGTACATTCTGTCTAACACTCACTCCTGTAATGCTGTGAAAATTGCAGGTTAAAGAGAAAACAATAGCCGCAAGAAGGAGTGAAGTTAAGACTATTATATTCCCTTCGGCTAACAGGAGAGATTTTGACGAGCTAGCTCCTAATGTGAAAGAAGGTCTTGATGTTCATTTTGTTGATGACTACATGCAGATCTTTAATTTGGCTTTTGGTGATGAGCAAGCTCAGGATATAAAGTAAGTCACTAATGCCCTGTAGTATCTTGAGATGAAACATAGTTCTTTGTTGAGCTGGGAACCAGCTGAATTTTGTACTATATTAATTTAGTACCAATTGTTTTTGGTGTTTCTATTCATCTATTGGGCATTCCAATGTAATAACATGTATATTTATATTTGAGGGGATGGCTGTTTTTTTTGAGGCATGGCCAGGGAGTGTTCACGTTCAAGGGAGAATATTCCAATATTGACAATAACACAACTTATCCAGTTAAAATTCATTTTTGAACACACTTAAAGGATAGGTTGAAGAGTAGTCTGCTTAATAACTGAATGTACGTGTCTTTCTGTTTTTTTTCTCTCTCTCTATCTCTCTCTATATATGTATGTATGTTTGTATATGTGTATGTATGCATGCATGTATGTATGCAAGCATGTTTGTGTGTGTTTGTGTGCCTGTAGTCTTAGTGTGAATTAATAATAACAAGACTAGATTTAGAGACTCAGGTTATCAATCAAAATACACACTTATATAAACATACTGCATGGCTAGGGATGTGCAGAAGAAGGGTGTCAGTAATACCTTCCCTGTTCTTTTAGGACAATGTAATATACGGGTGAGGACTGATTCGTACGCCTCATGCTTATCATTTCATTTTCCCTCTTCAATTATTAAAATAACTCAAATCGGTTGCAGAGTAAATTTAAGGGTTGAGGGCCTTAACGTCTCTTTGAAGAACTAAGCCGAGGATACCCTCAAGACTCGGTACAAGACTTAACGTATCTTTTAATAGTTTTTAAAATTTCAAGCTAAGTTTAGAAAACTTCATACCTATAAGGGCTGTAGCTTACCAAACTAACAAGAAGGGTTATTTTTAAAAGGTAATAGCATTTAATAATAGAATAGGAAATAACTAGACAATACTCTAGAGGTTTTATTTGATCTCATTTTTTTCTTCAATGAAACAAGTTTAATGTATATATGCGTGTGTGGTGTATAAGTTTTACATACAACAAATTATCTCAAGATTTTCTTTTTAAATCTTGCTTTTAACCTTGAACTACTTCGTTCATGTTATATATTTTTTGTTACTTAACTTCAACTTGCTTTAATTTATTTCAACGATCATATAGGTAACACCATTTGAGATTCGGAACCTTTGCAGATTTGTTTATTTATAGAAAGTATACAATTTTTTACGGTTTGACCTTAAACCTCTCCTTTTTCATCTGGCATAGTGTGCAGTGTCTTGGTTATTTTCTTTTCTATATTGTAATAAGATGTAGGTAAGTTACCCAAAATACCAGGCAACAATCCTGACTTTGATCTTGCAAATGGCTTACTCATGGAAAGAAATTGAATCTCACACTGTCATTTTTTTATTAGGCCACGTGTTTGATGGATTTACTGACATGGAGATGTCCATTTTGCCTTAGAAATGGAGAGGATTTGACACCATATAAGTAACTCATCAATTCATCGTTACAACTGTTTAGGAGTACAACGTTTGGCAAACCGAATACAATTATAAAGTGTGATATTGAATAAAACTATTTTGACTTTGTCCTTTGACTTCATGTTAACAGGTTGTCTTTTTCTTCCTGAATTACTATTACCTGCATTTTATTCTAACAGTCAAAAAATTAAAATACTCTTCAGCTGCACCATGCCTTTTCCGACATAGCCGTTTTGACTTCTCCTATGTGGCATTTCTGTTTTCCATCATATTCTGAGAGGAAGAAAAGGATGATAGAAAGTAACACGTTGGGTTACTTATTCTTCAAAGTTCATTTTATAAAATATTTCTTATGATTTGAAAATTTTGTTTCAAGAATCTTATTTCAAAAATCCTGCTCCAGAATGTATTACATATACTATTTCAAAATGTTTGTTTTGAAAATTTAGTTCTGAAAAATTTATTCCTATTTAGAAAGTTCGATCTAGAATGTATCTTATATGTTTCAGAAATATTATTTTGGAAATTCCATTACAAAAGTCGTTTTAAAAATCCTGTACTAAAAAATTATGTTTAGAAACTCTCAAAAATTGTTCTGAAAGCTGTTCAAAATAGAAAATTTGAAAGTCACCATTGTGAATGGTATAATGATAATTTTAAAAATCACGGGGTGTAAGAAAAAAAAGCTGACAAGTTAGTTAACAAGTATGAAATGAAATGCACCCATTTTTTCCTACGCATACATCACGTAACTGGCAAGAAAATTTAGAAAGATAAAAAACTTTTCCATTGAAAAATATGAAGCATGGAGAATTACAAAAGCACATGTTCAGAGGCTAAGGGAGTAGGGGTAGACAATGTGATGCAGATCATGACCAATAGAAAATTGAGTGGTTCCTTCATCTAAATGCAAATTAAAATAAGCAGAATGTGAACTTGGAAAACTTCTTCGGCTCAATTCCAGCAATCGGTTATCGCTTTGCAATAGCTTCATGTAGTGTTGGTCAAGAACTCCAGGAGGAAATTCAAGATAGTGCCTCCTGAAAATCATTTTTTTCTCAGCAACATAAACTAGTTCGAACCATAATTCATGTTAAAAATAAAATGTAACCAAATAAAAAGTAATTTCAGTTTTACATAAAATCTGAAAACATGCTCTCAAAATTATTTTTTAACTTTAAAAAAATGGACCAAATATGTGAGTAGAAGATATAATTTTGAATTGAATATAGAAATTAAAAGAAAAAAAAATGCAGAAAGAGTAAAAATATACCGGTATTGTGAAGCTTGAGCATTGGTGAAGTCATTGGATATGGTCCACATAGTATGTTTTTTGGGCTTTGGATCAATCTCTTTAAAGAATGATGGTACTTTGTCTAACTGTAGGACATAACATTCCTCATTAAGCTAATCTAATCACTTAAACGGTTAGGTCAAAAAATCCATTTGAAATTTCAAACTATTAGCAGTGCATTTAATTCATTTTTACATCTATTAATTTTAATATTATTTACAATAATTAGGAGAAGTAAGGTTGGATAATGTATATAAATCATTTTTTAGATTTTTTAACAATAATAAGTATGATATTTTAAAAACATAAAAAATAACCCACCTGTTTATTAAATTACTGTATATTATCTTAGGTTTAACTTAATATTCTTTTACTGTCTATTTCAAACAAATTTTAAGGACTTGTTTCGTTCTCTTAAAGAATTAACAACAAAAAATGAGTACTTTTGAAATTCAATAAGTTGATATATTTCTTAGGTTGTAATTTTTAAATTTTATATTAAAAATTAATTATATACATATATATATATATATTTTGTAAATATAAAAATTCTACACTTAATTATACTTTTAATTATTGTACTAATTCAAATAAAATAATGGAAGAAGGAATGAAATTGTTGACTGATCCGTAATGATGATTGGATTTACTTGGACTAATTATCCATTGAGCTTGCTTTGTGATTATTTTAATGTGCATACTTTCTGTGATAGATATTATCAATTTAAATATTAATTTATGAATAAGAAATGAAGAACTCAAGTGGCAACGTGACATTGCAATTGCATTTTTTATTTATCTTGGCCCACTTTCCACTTCTTTACTTTCCTACCCTATTATTTTATTATCCATTTTATAATAAATAAGATGAACATATTATCAATGAATAATTATATATATATATATAACCCTGTTTTTTAAAACTAATATTTATTACTAACTATTATACTAGTATGAATTTAAAATCGTAGAAAACTTACTTTCTTTTTTTCTTCAAAGAACAGACAAATTTATGGTAACATATTTTTAAATGAAATTATATATGTAAAACTTCAATGTATAGTTTTTTTGTTTGGACATTTTCTTCTTCTAAAGTAATAACAAAGGAAAAATACCTCAATTTCAAGAACTCCAGGTGAGTGTTCGTCGATAACAGCTCGAATGGCTGATATATTCTGATACTGTATTTCAATTTTGTACTTCAAACCATCGTGTAATATCTCCCACATCAATTTTTGTCTTGCGTAATAACACTTAGCTACCAATTCATAAGGATATTTAGCCTCAATCTGCATCATTAAATTCAACTCAATAATCATACTCAACTTTTATATCAGTATTATTTTTTTCATGCCATGTTAGACAAAAATAAAGAAACTGATCATTCTATTTAGTCTTTAAGACTATATATATGTATCAAAATCTGTTCAAGTTAAGAAAATTATAGTTTTTATTTAAACATCTAAACTGCACTTCAAAATTTACTCCTCCTAAGTGAATTTTGAACATTTGTTTGCAGAATACAACTGAAGGGTCGAACTTAGCGATAGAAGCAAAAGGAAAAGCTAAACTCAGAGAAGATAAAGGTCAAAAGTATTTACAGATAACAATTTTCTATCTGCATTAATTTAACATTCTACATTTGACCTACAAGATTATATAATAATTACTTACCTTAAAGTATCCGATTCTGAGCATGTTCATTGGAAACTGCACAGCCTTCAGTTTCTCAACTTTGTTGGCTGCTGCAACTTGACTTGGTTGCATCATTTCAGGAGTCAAAGTGAATTTCAACCCAATGGGTGGTGGAAGCTGCGAAAATTCTCTCAGGGCCTGTACAAAAAACAAGAAAAAAACGCAGAATTGTAATAAGGTTTAACGGTAAAGTTGAAAGAGAGGATGAGTTTAGAAGGAAAATCCTTTGATAACATGTTAACAATTAACATTTATCGATAAAATATATCATTAAGATAATTCTCTGGAAAATTAAAAGGAAAAAAGGAAAATGCAATGCATGGGGCTGCAGGTAGAAAAATTGAATATACTACTGATATCATAGTTTGCATGCATGACAAAAAATCATACCCTTTTAGACTCAGTTTGTGGATCATCATGATATTCGGTGTGGTGGTCATCCTGAAGGTATGAGAAATACAGAAACTGATTCTCCGAAGAGTGATATTTATATGAAGTCATAGCAATGTGTTGGTGGTGGGTGAATCCTTCTTGATAAAAACTGTCACTGGAAGCAGTGCTGTGTGCCATAGAAGATACTGCAAGCTCAATCTGCAGAGGAGTCTGAGTTTTGTGTGGAAGCCTTGTTCAGGATTGAAGTTATGTTACTCCTTATATATTATCTCGTATAGGGTCTGTTCATGATTTTTAATTAGTGTTTATCTTTAAAGTCTGAACAAAGTGGACTAAGACCTTTTTTGATGAAAAATAAGTAATTAGTGGATTAATTTAACTTAAGTACAAGCTTCCTAAAATGGGTTCATTTCAGATCACTTCAAGTTTTCCCAAACCTTCTCAAGTTAGGCTAAAAATTGTGCTTTGATTAATAACCCTATTTTTGTTCTTTATTTAAAAAAAGGTTTTCCAAATTTTATGCTTGGTTATGTATTTTAAATCAAAGTTAAAGTTAATTAAGATTGGTAAGAAATCACGTAACTTCTGTATGAGTTTTACTTGGTATTTCCATTGATATTTTTTTAGAAATATTTAATAGTTAAAGTTGAATATGTTTAAGGTTTACATTTGAAGGTATTGATTAAATTAAAATAATTATATGTATGAGTAATTAGAAGTAAATACTAAAAGAAAAAATAAAATAAAATAAATAATGTAACATCCCAATTTTAACACATTACCACTCATATAATAATAAGACGTTATAAAATTAATAAAACAAAACATGTGAGATATAGTAGTAAATAATTATCTAGAAGAAAATAACTAAAATGATAAATATATAATAGTTAAATGTAACCACTAGACAACTAAGAATACTTTTCACTATATATGTTTAAACACTTATTTCTTATGTGTTCAATCCGATCATTGCAAAAAACAAACAACACACCAAAAACAACAAAGAACAACATGGTAAGCTAGTGTTCAAAAGAAAACTTCAAAAACAATTTAACACATCACATATTAGTTCAACATTTATAACATTCTATAACTCAAACATATAATCAATTGATTTTAGAGTCAATTATCGGAATACATGTTCTCACACATATATTCAATATAGGTGTGCACCCGTAGTAGTATTTATACTCTACAGAGTCATAAACGCAGGGGTTAACGCCCTACTACTCACAAGGTTAATTTTTCACACCTAAGACCAAAAGTCCAGGATAAAGACTTCCCTGCCATTCTTTCCCCCACTCCATTCATCTCTATATGAGTTGAATGGTTGGTAGTATCTCAGGATACCTATACTTTCAAAATCCCCATATATCAAAGCATATCATCACCACCAATCCTCCTTGGATTGACTTCAACCATCCTAAATTACCCATCACAAACTAGTTAACATATTATCATACATGAATAAACATCATACATACTCATAATCATATTATAAACAAATAATTGTTTTTGACATCCACATAATCACACTCATTAAACACATCATAAGAGGTATATGTAAACTTAGTTAAAATTCTGGTATTTTCGCTCAGTCACCAGATATGCTCGCTTAGCGCAAGCACTCTCGCTTAGCCTGCTCGCATTGGTAGTAGTGCCTAATAGCACACTTGTTCAACGACTAAATTTGCTCGCTCAGCTAAAAAACCACAGAAACTTATAAACTTAAATTCTCCCAAAAGTTGCCCAACGAAGTATATTCTCGTCCAACAAACGTTAAGTCAATGACTCTCTGACTTTGACTTCGGGCAATGAATATATGCTCGCTCAACGAATTTATATAATTCAGCAGAGCATAATTTTTATAGATTTATGTCATTTAAACCCTGTAAAACTAGTCTAACATCAATCATAGATGTTCAAACCAACAAATTATCATATCATATGCATTTCAACCATACAATTCACTCCAAATACAAGCTCAATCATAACAAAGTTTCAATCACATTATATCTAAGGCAATTCAGGCTTTCTAATTTAACTCAAGAGGTCATATCTCATAAGATAACTTAATTGCACAATCCAACTACCATACAAACATCAATCAAAACTTACCTATCAGCTAAAAATCAAAATAACTAGTTTCCCATACCTAACAAATGACCAAACAACTCTAGAATCCTATAAACAACAAAAAGCATGATCAGGATACACTATTAGAACTTTTGAAGTAAATAATCAAACTAAGACACAGGCAAGTTGAGCAGGACACGTATGCAACCAATACAAGAAAAGATAAATAAAAAGGGTTGAAACTCAACTTATTCAATGGGATAAACTGATTGGTCCAAATTGAAGACCTTGTCGCTATGATTAATTTTAAATTCTCGATTCTTCAATCAGACGAAAAGATGATGATAACTCCTCTTCAGAAGTTAGAGGACTCTTAGAAAATGGTTTATAGAGATAGATATGTCTTAAAATAATGAAACTCAATTTATAACCAAATTATTTATATTAAAACTATTTAATATTAAAATAATCAAATCTCACTATTTTTAAACCGCTATTACTTCTAAAATACAAATTTCTACGTCTTTACATATCCCACTATTAATATGAAAATACATTTGTAAACTTCTTCTAATGAAAAATTTTATAAAAATATTTTTATTTACTATTTATAAATTTTCCTATGTGAGGGAAAATAATATTAAAAAACATAGTCTCTTTACAAGTAAATTTAAGAAAGAACAAAAATCTATGAATAAAAAATGTTAAAAAATCATATAATGTGAGTAAATTTTTGGTTATGAATAAGTTAAACCACTTCAACTTTGAACAATATTTTTTTTTAAAAATCTCAAATTCAAGCTTTCAATTAAGCTTATACTTAAATAAAAATTTTATTATGCCTTTAATTCTCTAATTTTAGTGATTCTAGTTTATCCTATATTTCGATTCTGTTAATTGAGCTCATTAGGTATTATAGATATATTATTTATTTCATTGAATTGCAATCTCACATAGGTATCACTATTAATTTCTTTCAGTCTCCAACATTCCACAGTACATATGATATATATTATAAGAAAATCATTAAATAATAAAAAATTTAAAAAATTAGTCATTATATTTACTGAATTAGACATAATTTTATAAGACAATTCTTTCGGATGTCATTATGCTTGTGAAAATTAGATAAAATTAGATAAGACAAATATTATAAAATAAAAACTCATTATAAAATCATTTTTTGTAAGAAATTGTTTAACAACAAGTATTTCTGATTTTTTCCAGGTCAATTACCAATTCCTTTATGCTTGTGAAAATTGGATAAAATTAGATAAGACAAAAATTATAAGATCAAAACTCATTATAAAATCATTTTTTTGTAAGATTGTTTAACGCCAAATGTTTCTGATTTTTTCAATTGGGGCTATAGTAGGGTGTTTCTGATTTTTTCAATTGGGGCTACAGTAGGGATGACAGAGAAAGATTGGAGTGAGAAAGATGAAAGAGAAAGGGTTGAGAGGAATGAGAGAGGTGAGTAAGGGTTTTGAGGTTTCTTTTTTTTTTTTAGTTTTGAGAATGAAAATTATTAAAATACCCTTAACCTTAGAACTTAGAATCCATGGTATATAAGGATATTTTTGTCTACTAAAATCCGGTACACATTGCTAAAATGTACCAACTGAAAAACAGGCGTACGCGCGTTAGCAAACCCCTATATATAAATATATTTATATATATATATATAATTAATATAATTATTTCCAAAAATAAATAATGGTAAAGATGACATGAAGTTTATATATTTTTTACGCAAAATAACTATTTCAAATCAAAGAAAGTTATTTCATATGATGGTCTTCTACCAAATGTTTATCAACATTTACTACTCATTTGCTCATATCATAAGGTGATCATTACAAAAGAAAGAAATATAGACAAAACACAAAAGAAATGGTAAATTAATGTGCAAAAAGAGTTTTCATAAAATATTTAAATTATATCAATTATAAACTAAGCATGTATTGGACCAAGAGTCTAATGGATAGGATTTTCTTCAACTCTCACCACATAACTCATTCTA